AAAAAAAAAATTTTGACTTTCTCAATCTCTCCCAAAACCTCAACTCCATTTGATGTTTTTCACTCTTCCTTTCTCATTCCCCCATCCGACTCTCTCTCTCCCTCGTCCCCCCTTCCAGAAAAAAAAAAAAAAAACAGCCTTGATTTGGTTAGAAAACGAATGGCTTTCTTCAAAATTCCATAGGTAATCCGGTTTTGGGATTGATTGTGTAGAAGCTTGAAGTATTGAAGGTGGTTTTCCAAGATACAACTTCATATTCAACAAAGGAGAATGGAAGGTCATGCAACATGATTGTTGTTGCTATCAATTCTCAAAAGTGTTCAGGGTCAAACCTCTTTGCATTCAATGCTAAGGTCCATTTGTCTTGCGATATCAATAGTTGGCCTACGTCACGCGTGTCTCTACGTGCACATGATTTCATGTGACTCGCATGCTTCCAGTCCCATTCTTACTTTTAGCCATATACGCCACACCACACTCCTTGCATTTGGCTTTTATCTCTTGGTCTGCACGCACTGAAAGCTTTTCAAACTAGTTCTAGACAACAAAAGTATGCTTCCTTTTGCGTTTGGATTTGTTTGTTAGATTCTTGGAATTAGCTTCAGGCTCAACATCCTCCTCCAATGCAGTAGGCGCATCAGTAGTAACAGTGGCGGATGCAGTAGCGCTACCTAACTCTAGATTTACTTTAACACCATCTTATATATCATCCATCTAAAAGTAGGGAAAAAAACAAAGCACCAATCAGACGTGTATTTGGGTTATGATATAAACACAAAATTATTAAATCTTTATAAATACTATGTATATATATACAGTTAACAAAACAAAAATCACATGAAAAGAAACATAATAATCTACAATTTACCGTCAAAAAATGCAAAAACTAAAGAAAAATCAAAAGAAATGTTAATATAACACTTAAAACGCTCAAATCACCAATTACCGCAAATGACCTTCAAAATCATAAGAACACTAAACCCAAAATTTGAATCTTCAGAAACATTACATACTTAACAAAAACAATCACACGAAAAGAAACTCAATAGAGGAAAAGGAACATTAAAAAAAAAACAATTTAGGGCAAGAAGATGAGAAAAAAAAAACTAGAAATTCAAACAAAAGGACGGATAAGAGCTTATCAGAAGTTGGCGCAGCTGGTAACGAGAGAAGAGATTCCGATTTAAGAGGAGAGGCCAACGAGAATGGAGAAGCGCGAAAAAGGCTGAGGAGAAAAGCCTCTTTGAGTGAGCGGCTAGGGTTAGGAGGACTTAAGTGAGTAAGAATTAGATATCGTGTCTTATATATTTTCAGACTTAATTTTTTAATTTTCTGCAACTTTTTATTTATGTATATGGACTATAAACGGGCATGTCGTGTCGTGTTGACTCGGTAACGGCTCGTATAACTAAACGGGTTAAGCGTGTTAAACGGGCTGGTACAAATCTAACTTATTTATTTTTGTGTTATTCGTGACAGCTCATTAACGACATAATTAATAGTCGTGCGATTCAAATTCATTTATTTTTTTGTTATTTTTGTATCGTTTGATCGTGTTGTGTCTAAAATTAATAGCTATATTTAAGACCATTTTTCTTACCCTAAAAAAGTAAAAGACTATTCTATCTCACTTTTCTTAATTTTACATTTACATTTGCATTTACATTTAAGAGAACGTCTACGGTAGGGTGAGCTAATTCACCCCACTGGTAAGAGAAATAATAAAGACCGCTGGATTAAAATCGATGGTTTAAAATGCTTTGTTCCATAGAAATAAGAATAAAAACTACCACGCCTAATCAAATATTTAAGGAAGAAAGAGAAAAATAAGCTAAGACTTAAGATGAATTAAAATTAATAAGTTAATAGTTTACATAAATTAATAAATATGCTAAATTATTATTTTTGTCTATAATTTGTCTGATTATGAACCATAACTTGATAAGTTATTGTCCATAATTTATAATTTTTATTCATAATTTGTCTGATTATAAACTATAATTTGATAAATTTATCCATAACTTATCTAGTTATAAATCATAACTTAACAAGTTATGACATATTAATTTTTATAACTAAAAATTAACCTATATACTTTTTTAAACTTTTCATAGGTCTATTTTCTACTATTTCTCAATATTTTATTCACACCACTCAAAAAAAAAAAAAAAAAAAAAAAATCTTCGTTCCTCAACGAATTTGCAGACCGAATCAACCCCTAATTTGCAAACTCATCTTTGATACCCCAACTTAATTTGCAGACCCACCAGCCACCACCTCTCGGCGTCGCAAGCCAATTTCACCCCACATCATCCGGCACCCAGCCCTCCGGCGGAAGCCTTCCCTCCAACCGCGCCTGCACGAAGACGACGCCCTCTCACCTCTCTCAGACTGCAGTCCTCCCTCGACGACGGCGCCGACATAATAGACTTTGTCACCGACTTTGTCAAGGGACCCGCTGATTAATGTACCTTGTAATGATTTTGTCGGTAGGGTTATGCGATCAGATTGCGAGAAGAGCAAAAAAAAAAAAAAACATGTTTTCTTTTGTGTGTGATGATATGGATCTCAATGCAGAAATAGTTGCTTTTTTGTGTTTCTCAGATTTCTATTGTACGATGGAAGAAACAGAGTCGATGAATGCACTTGTGAAAAAATGGATTTACCTTCTTTAATTTTTGGTTCTAAAAGTTTCTGATTTGTTTGCAAGAGAAAGTGTTTAGTTTTTACTTATTTTCGAAGGTATGATTTATGTATTTTTTTTTTTTTTCTGGTTTCAATTCTCATTTGGATTACTTTTGATCTTGTTTGATGTTGCCGGTCGTAGTTTGTTGCGAATTTCTGGGGGCGAGTGGTAGCAATTGGAGCTGAGATTCGTCGCGGGAGTGGCGGGGTTTTGGAGATCGGCGGGCGCCGAGTACGATGGTAATGGTGGTGTCGATGGAAGACGTCGGCGCGTGGTGGAGGTGACGGCGCGTGAACCGGCGACGAGATGTGATTGTTTTGTAATTATTTTTATGAGATTTGAGTTAGAATTAAGTGTAAGAGGGACCACCCATGCACCCCCACTCAGATCAATTATAAACCGTCGGATCTCACCTTACGGGTAGATTAATTATAAACCGTTAGATCTCACCTACGCTAATTTACTCACGCTACCATAGACATGCCCTACATCTAAATTTAAATTAATTTAGATATGTGGGAATATTTTATGTTTGATGATAAGATTATTTTTTCCTTTCCCCTTCTTTCTTCCTTTCTTTCGATTGGCCGAGTTGATCTCAATCATTTATCTAATGCAAAGAAAAGCAATCCAGAGATGCAAAAGAAAAAAAAATAATTACCGTTTAATTTGTTAATTTAAATTAAAATATAATTTTATGTAAAATTTTTTTATTATAATAAAATAATAAAATATAATTATTTTTAAAAAAACTTCATTTAAACAGGTGAAATAGTTTAAATAAAACCTGCAAGTCAAGACGTGTCAATCATCCATTGGCTAATGCTTAAAGAAGATTTGGCAATAGCAAAACCGGAGTGTCCAAATAAGAAAATACGAAACAGAGCAAAGGCGCAACCAGAAACTGAAAGACAAGTGTCGATCAGAAACAGCGAGTACTCAAAATCTGAATCCCACACCAGCCGAATGAACAATTTACCTGTCTCTCAGTTTTCTGAGAAAGAGCGAGAAAGTGCGAGAAACAGAGAGAAAGTGTCCAATCATTCCATTTGTCTCTCTCTCACTGATAAACCTCGTCACGCAAAATCACAGCTGCAAACAGAGCCTAAAAAACTTCCAATTTTTGGCTCTGTTTTTGTCGTATTGTCTCTGTCCCTTTCTCTCTCTAACGATGATTGATTATCTCCGAGCGTGAAATCAGAAATGAAAGAGGAATGAGACGGAGGAGAGTGGAAGTGGAGCAGACGAAGAAGAAGAAGAAAAGAATGCGAACGCTATGCGACGTCTGCGAGAGAGCTGCCGCGATCCTCTTCTGCGCCGCCGACGAGGCCGCTCTCTGCAGTTCCTGCGATGAAAAGGTTTTTTTTCTTTTTTCTTTTTTTTGCGAGAATTTATTTCGTCGTTTTCAAAATTAGTAATTTCTGATTTCCGCTCAATCGTGCGTAAATAAGGATTTTCTTTGTTTGGAAAATTGGAAGTTTGATTTTTTTATTCTTTTTTTTTTTTTTTTTGGATATCGATTGCTTTGACATGGCTCTTCTTCTTGGTTTTGATCTTATTGATATTGTCTTTCAGCTTCGGTTTTGAGTATTCAATTATCATCACTTTGGTCTACTTTTTGTTTAATTTCCAATTTTTGCGTTACGATTGATTATTGTGGTCTAACGTAATTGGATAATCCTCCGGTTATTCTTTGAATGATACTGGAAATGCGTGTTAATCTCAAAACTTTAAAAATTTAGTAGAATGGTCTGCGAATTTTCAGAAAGTTATAATTAGTGTACATTTGTCCATCTTGGTTTAAAAAGTATTAAGTGAGAGGAGCTAAAGAGTAAAACTTTGACCAATTCATTTTACGGATTCGAATTTTTAATTTTAAGTTTTTACGGTTAAAAATTTAAAAAAGGTGTTACATTTAATTTTTTTTTACTACAATTAAATTTTTTAAAAAATATCACATTTTAACTCAAATTAAAAATTTAAATCCGTAAAACGAACGAGCCTTTGAGTTGGACAACTAAGGTTGAATTTGAAAAGGACTATTTTTTGACATGGTATTAGGACCGACGAGGTTAAATGCTACGAAATTGAAGTAAATTTTCGTATCTTTTACTTTAGATTGCTTGCCGATTTAGCAACTCAATCATTCCTTTTTTCCTATGGACTATATAATTGGAAATCTCTCTCTCTCTCTCTCTCTCTCTCTCTCTCTTTTCTGTGACAAAGCATTATTGGCACTATTGCTTGCAATTGTCTCCCTAAAACAAGGTGCTTAAAATGCCAGATCTTTACAAGCATATGGTAGATTCTCAAATGTTCTGAAAGCAAGAATGGGTGAACTGATTGGTAGACCTGAGTGCTTATTTTGAACCGACAATGGCCCCAGCTTTGACCATTTTGTTGGTGGCATACAAATGGAAAAATCCCTGTTTTTAGATAACGCTTAGAACAGGAATACTGGGGTACCTACTTTCTGGGTGTTTCTCTATTCAATCACATATCAAACGTGTTGTTAGAAAATCTAAAACATTTGAAATTGATACTGTTTAAATCACGACAACAACTGAAAACAACAGAGCTTCATCTGCTTATAAAATTCTTGAACCCTTTTATCCTGCATAGCTTTCCAATCCAATTATGGCAAGAGCGTTTATATTTGTTTCTGGTATTGTTGGGAATTGCAGGTTCACATGTGCAACAAACTTGCCAGTAGGCACGTGCGGGTTGGTCTAGCTGACCCCAGTGATGTTCCCCGCTGTGACATTTGTGAAAGTGGCCCTGGTATGTAGCTTTTAACATTTTGTATTGGGTAGTTTTTCTGAGAACGTGATCGTTTGAACTTTTCTTTTTTCGTCCAAACCTGCATCTTGGAGTTATTTACAGTTTGATTGGCATCTTTCTGGTCTTATTGATAAGAATTTGAATCTCTCTTTTTCCCCTCCTTTCGACAATGTATGTAGCCTTCTTTTACTGCGAGATAGATGGCAGTTCGCTTTGCCTGCAATGCGATATGATCGTACATGTTGGTGGTAAAAGAACACATAGGAGATATTTGGTCTTGAGGCAAAGAGTCGAGGTTTGTCTCTCTGTACTGAAAGCAGTGAATCTTTTGGTTTTGTATGTGTTTTTAGGTCTACTTTCGTTCGTAATAACTTCTCTGCTCTGTACATTTTTCTGTAGTTTCCAGGGGATAAGTCTGGCCATTTAGTGGAGGTAGGGATGCAACCCCTCGATCCACATGATGTAAGGAGGGAACAAATTCAACGGCCTAAGCTCAATCAGCAGAACCACAGAACGTCTCCTGTTCCGGCGCTAGAAAATGACATTGATGGTGATGTAAAGATGGATATTAAATTAATTGATCTTAATACCAGACCCAGTCGGATACACGGGCAACCTTCAACTAATCAGGTATTTTTTTTTTCAGGCATGGTCTTTAGCTTTGTGCTGAAAATGTCTGTATATCTCTTTATTTTTCTTTACTATTTTTATAGGAGTCTATATCTTACTTACAGTAACTGCATGTTTTGATGTACTCATTATTTGACCTTGAGAATCATTTTCCTATTTTCATTCTTTAAGGAACAGGGTATGGATGTTCTTAGCGGGACAAATCGTGAATCTACAAGTGTAGTTCCCATTGTGTCCTTTGAAAGAGAGCCTGAAAAATGACAAAGGTGCGTTCTACATTTTTGTTTTCCTGGTTCGTAAGATTAATCTTATCTTCCACGATTCTTCTTTCGGGAAAGTTTAACATTATGGCTTTATGCTTTTTCCGAGAAAAAAAAAAAAGTAAGATGGTCAGATTATTTAAACTACTGGAAGATGTCTTTCCGTACAATTGCTAGGACTGAAATGATTTCTGTTCTGCTGTTCTTTTGCATTTTTGAGTTGAAGGTGACTTGAGTGATGATTTTGAGTTATAATTTGAGTTGAAGTTGTAACTTGAGTTTGTGTTTGAATGTGCACATTTAAGTTATGATTTGAATTGATAATCTTTTTAAATTTGTGTTTGAGTGGGTCAAAACTTAAATTTATATTTAGATAGTATTTTAATAATAATTCAATGGTGATGAAAAATTTTACTAGGGTATATATATGTAGTTTTATTCGTCTTTTCGTTGTGAATGCATAGAAAAAAATCATCTCAATCAGAATTAAAACGAAAAAATTATGACATTTTTAAGAATAAAAAAGAAACTGTTCATTAACTTTAGTTTGAGTTTATGAACTCGAGTTGAAGGGAAAACTTGAACTCGAGTTTAGCCCCAAACTCGAATTCAAACTCGAGTTCAAACTCAAATTTTACAAAAGAACATGAATTTGAATAAAGTTGCAATCCGAGTTCAAATTTTTTTTGAGTTTCATTGTAAAAGAACAACCCCCGAGTATTTCTCACTCAAAAATAACTTCACTGTGAACAGTAATTGTGAATAGTATCGTACACGTGAATAGTACCATATAGATGAACAGTACTATATGCGGCGGGCAAACTTGACAGAATAACTATTGAATACTGAAAACAAAGAAAATAACATCATAATTGATAATGGTGTTCAGTCAAATATTGCCTACGTCTCCGGACACTGTGGACCACTCTATTTACTAGAGAGAAGAAAGTTTACAAATTGGACAGAAATTATAAAAGCCCACAAATTAGAAATCTAAAGAATTTTTAATAAATTTTCAAAGGGGAGAAGCTCTCGGCTTTTTAGGATGCAAAATAAATAAGGGAAGTTCTGTATTTATAGACTCTGTCTTTCTCTCTTCTACACGTGAACCAGCTGTTTCACTTCTGAAAGCACCATTTGCGGGGCTTTCTCTTCTTCTTCTCCCTTTCTGACCTTTTCTTTTGGCGCAGCCCAATTTTTTTTACAATTGAGTCACCCATATTGACTAGGAAGTATATATGATCGAATTGGTACATAAAGAGATGAGAGTTACTGAATTCTAAATATAGAAACTCTATCAAGACGGAACAGATACATTGTTGATTTTTGTAAGGTTTTGTGAAAAGAAACTCCAATACTTCTAATCGATGTGCTAGAATTTGCCACGTGTTTTTAAAAATACTAACTATCCCTTTTGTCTTTCTAATCAAACAAATATCTTGTGTTTTTCCAATCGCATAAAATCCACCATTGTTGTTAGATTTGATCAAAATTAGATTTGATCAAAATTAACTATGTAAAAAGGACTTTTTTGCACTATTTAAATGAAATTGTTTTTTGATCTTTTTTTGTTTGATTACAAACTATGCGCTTTGATTTTATGGGCCACTTTGTTTTGAAAAAAAAAAAAAAAAAAAAAAAAAAAAAAAAAAAAAAAAAAAAAAAAAAAAAAAAAAAAAAACTAAGTTGATTATATTATCAAAGGTAAGAAACATTAAGTTATGGCTCTTGTATGGAAGCCCTCTTAACAGGGTGAATTACTAAGATTGAAAGTTGAGGGATTAAATTGTCAAAGTCACAAAGTTAAGGGCTTCCGTACAAAATAGCCTTAAGTTATTGCTTTTGGGATTTCTCACTTAGAGTGCCATTATTTGTTTTATGAAGGATAATTGTGTCTTTTTGCACGGCTAATTTTTCTCAAGTCTGACATCATGGATAGATCTTGTGTGATTAGAAAAAAGCATTGAGTAGATTTTGTCTAATAAAACAAATATGGGTGGATTTCATCTGATTAGAAAAAAACACAAGATAATCTCAGTATTTTTGGTAACACTAGAGAGATTATTTTGATAAAAACACATGGGAGGTTTTTATTATTATGCCTTTATATAATTGCTAGTAAAAAACGAGCGCGCGTGACTCATTTAAAATAATTGATACAAATCATTGGAAAAAAAAAAAAGAAAGGATAGAAGAACAATAATAATAGATATATTATCGTTAGTTACATTAATAATTAAATTTTATGCATAATAAATTAATATGCTAAATAACTAAAAAAACAATAATTAGTAATCAGTGTATAAGTGATTACTGTGTTAGTAATTTAGTCATAATTATTAATTTATAAGTAATTAATTAGTGTATTAAAAAATAAATTAGTATATTAATAATGTATTAGTATTATACTTACTTAATAATTAATTAGCTTTTAGGATTAATTACAAAAATTTTCCCTGAACTATAACCATTGTAAAACTTTGTCCCCAAATGTTTAAAACGTAACATACGTTCCTCCTTAATAATAAAATGTTAACAAAAAAGGTACCCTATGTTAAATTTTTAACATAAATTGACATTTAATTAGTTATTTTAGAGGTATTTTGGTAACTCTATGATTTAAAATTAATATGAATTTAAACTAATTTAGTTTTGGACTTTTAATTATGAAACATCCACATTAATTTTGCCATTGGGAGTGAAGAAATTTTTTTTTTAATTATATTGTATGTAAATTAGACAAAAGTTAGAGTTCATGGTTAAAATAGTAATTTTACTCTAAATTGTTTAACAAGTGTAAAAAAAGGTTATATTTCCTAATAGAGGGGGCATTTTTATTATAGTTTCATTGTTTAGGGGGAACAGTACGTTTTAAAGATCAAAGGGTAAAGTGTTACAAAAGACCTAATTCATAGAGAATTTTTGTAATTAATCTTAATTTTTAATTACATAATTAAATAATTAGTTAATTAATTACTAATGTTTATTAATAGCCTATTATTTGATATATTACATGGTCAATCTTTGGTAATTATCCTTAAATAATCATCTATTACTAATTAATAGTTATAATTTAATATTCATTATTTTTTGTTAATCGCTATTTATTTATTAATTATCAACTATTTACTAATTAATATATTATATAAAAGATATATAAATTATTAATTATTTATATACTAACATTATTAATTATTCCATCATTAATACATTATATAATCAATTTTTGGCAATTCACCTTTGAAAAATAAAAAAAGGGTAAAAATGAAAAAATAAAGGAGTTTTAGGATAAAAGAAAAAAAATAAAATAAAATAAAATTTCACGACAAAAATATAAAAAAGTCAAAGAAGGACTAAATTAAAGAAATGAATAAGCTTTTGGGTAGAAAGTAAAAAAAAAAATAAAAGAAAGGACGTGAAAAAAAAAAGAGGGGGGTAAAAACTAAAAGACAAAAGTTAGAAAGGAAAAAATGAAAAAAAAAACACAAAAAGACAAAATAACTTAACCAAGCTTTAATTATGAATAGTAAATGCACTCTCCTTTCAATTATAGTTATAGATATCCTGATCTCCAAATATTGCCATGGTTTTTGGTGGTTTAAGAACGCTGCATCACCTTTTCCAGTGCACTGCTCAAATGATAAATGAGGAATGAAAGATTTATCAAGAATCAAACAGGATTAATGCAATAAGCATAGGAAGTGGAGAAAAAGAAAATCTATCTCCTTGTGTTGGGATTGCATAAATTAAATCATAAAGATGCATAACTCCCTTTGATATGCTAACATGTCTCGCCTACCGACTCAAATAAATGCATTCTCTGCAGATATGGGCTTTCTATAACCCCCAAAAAAATCAGCCACAAAATAAATGAACAATTAAAATAAATGCTGTAGTAGCACATTCTATTGTACATTTAATTGGGTAATGATCTGTCCATTTTACCGATTCGAATTTAAAATTCGAGTTTTATTATAGTAAAAAGCTCTCAGAAACAGCCACATCTAATTTTTTTTTTTTTTTTTGCTACAGTAAAAAGCTCTCACATAAAGTTACATTTTAACTCAAATTAAAATTCAAATCGACGAACTAAACGAGTCCTAATATTCCAAGTCCAACCATGTATTGCTTGTGGAGATGTTGCAATCAGCTTCTTCTTAATGATAACAATAATAAAACCAAGATAATAGTAACCAAATTAGGTTGTGGAGGAATTCATTATGACCTAAATTAAAATTTTAATCATATATCTATATTTGAATTGCTTATTGAGTTCAGATCTTCTTGAGCCTTATGCTTTGACATGAACCTTGATTCTTGAACGAGTTAAGTATAACCTTTATTGTCTGCTAAACTATAGTTAATTCTTTTGTGGCTGCAGATCTCGTCTTAGCCGGTTAACAAAATTAAGGGCTGCAACCTTTCTTCTATTTTATGTGGTCAGGTTAAGTCTGTTGTATTCCTTGTGCAGAGTTGATTAAGATAATATGCTTATCCAACGAAACAAGAAAAAGTTATTTAGATGAATAGAACTACATTTACTTCTGTACCGAAACAAAGTTATTTGTTTCTATTTTTTATAAAATTTGATGACAGTTTTTAGTGTTCTGAAAACTCTCTTCAATTTAAATGTTGACCAAGCTCTTAAACTGACCCGCTTCAAATTAGTTGACATTTTCCTCAATGGGAAAGTCCACATTTATATTAATGTTGATGGTGGTCAAACAATTGAATGCATTATCGATTCACTCTTATAGTGAAGTAAAATTGTCCTACTTCCTCTTCAATAATTCTGGACTCAAATTTTGCTTTTCTATTAAAGCCGACCGCATTATTCATTTAGCAAGAAGAAAGATGATATAAAATTATAGCCCGTTTGAAAGGTATACTCAAATCATAATTCTTAATTTTGACGTTTGAAATTTAAATTTTTTATGAGAGGAAAATACTGTAGAAAAATAATGATTTGAGTTTGAGTATATGAAATAAATGAGTCCATAGTGTTCCTGTCATCCTTATGGAATAAAAATAGGTGAAATAATGTCAAAAACGTCGAAGCTTTCATTTGCTTGGTGTCAAGTCTGGCAGATGGACATTCCTCTGAAAGGAATCTAGGAGAAGCCAGCAAATTTGCAATTGTTGAAAAGTCACCACAGTGAGAAAATTAAATATAAAAAAAAAAAAAAAAAAAAAAAAGGAGGGCAAGAGGAAAATCTGAAATTTATAGTAAACTAGCAATTTCAGAGAGCTTGAAACTTGAATTTTGAGTTTATTTCCAACCAATGGTTTTGTATCACTTGCCATGCTTGCGGTTGTAGATGAGAAAAGGAAAGAGCCAAACCAGTGCTCTGCAAAGTTTATAAATGCATTTAAAAAAAAACAAAAGTTTATAAATGGACTCACAACTATCTGCGTTTCATTTAGCGTCTTTTTTATTCTAACCGACAAATAATTGGAGTGGCTGTTTCCAAATTCAAGCTCAGCAATAGTAGCTGAGGTGTAAAAGAGAATGTCTAGTCAATCTCCTATGCAAAACAAATTAGTTTGACCCCATCTGCCATCTGGAGCCCCTAACGTCACGCAGTAAGCTTCACGTCCATGCCCCAAGGGGTGGTCGAAGTGGCAAGGCACTTGACCAGCCATTCGCCCTGCCCCAAGGGTATGCTCTAAGGTTTGTGCCCTCATTTTGCTCTTCAATATCCCCCCAAACAGGGGTATAGCTGTGAAGTGATACGCCACTTTGATCCCACTACACTCTTTTCTTTTAGCAAGGGAGAAAAAAAAAGGTGTCACATCGGCTCTCTAGAAGTGTATATATCCTTTTTGTTAGCTCTTAACATACCAAGAAGAGTGCTCTTTTGTAACTCCCTCGACACCATCACACTTAACTCTTATCTCTTAGGCTGTTTCTCTTTGACGTATTGGAACGGCGCATTTTGTCCTCTCCCTCATTATATGGTGGACAGCTTTGTTATTTTGCTTCTGTTTTTATAGCCGATGGCATAACAAACTACCAACAGATTGAGGGAAAATAATCATAAAAACTAGCATCATGCTTCTTATGCATACATCCTTGAAGGAAGGAGGCATAAAAGAGATAAGACATTCTTATTGGAAAGAATAGGTGAACCATATATAAATGGTCCTTGGAAGATTCATAAATGGTTCACGCATTTTAGACTCTCTTGTCTATTTTTGGACGGGAAAAGGTGAAGAGGAAAAAACTCTTCAGGACCACACACAGGCATGACTTAAATCTAGATGATGAAGTAGCATATTAGGAAACTCTCAAGTTAGAGTAATGGAGGATATCCGACTACAATTCGAGTCAATTTCAAGTTGCATATGATGAAGTGGCATATTAAGAGACTTTCAACTCGAGTCAATTTCAAGTAGCATATGATGAAGTGGCATATTATGAAACTTTCAATTCGAGTCAATTCAGTGTCAACCATGTCATCAATTTGGGTTGAGTTCAAGTCGTGTTATTGTTACCTGTGGCTGCAAGCATTTTCGTGGTGCATGTATTGTAGGTTTTTAAGAAGAAGACTTAAAAGTAAACAATCTAGCAAACAGATCACGTGTTGATGGTGTCTTATCTAGCAATATAGCACGTGATAAGGAGAATGATAATGCTTCATCAAATGGCTATTGCATAAAATTGGTGGTTAGAATCAATAGTAAAGGCTTAAAAGACATAATTTGTAAGGATTTACATACTTATCAGCTGGTAAAGATCCGTCAACTGATTGCTTAGCATTCTAATTCTAATGCATAAACCTTGGAAGCCAAAAATTTCCTTTTATGTTTGTACTAAATTTTAGGACCTCAAATGCAAAACTCAAGCATTGATAAGGAATTCCATTCATGACTACACACTAACTAAACTCATCAGAACCAAGTTTATTAAGCTGCTAAAAAGTACATTGTAATCATAAACAAAAATAGTCTTCCATGGACTATAAAGCATTACAAATTTTCATTCAATCTTTAAGACCAAATTAGTTTCCATCCCTCCACCATCATCTTCTTCTTCAATCTTGATTAACATAGTTTTGGCAACAAACAAACTGCTTAGTAAACATAGCCCTTGACGAACAATTCTTTCTTGGCCTCTTCTGACTCTCCCTCACCAGTGTATTTGCCTAGCTGTGCAAGTGAGTTGGCCTTGGCGCGGATAAGCAGTGCCTCCTGAGCTGCCTTGACATTCTCTGGCCTGCCTCCCCATGTCTTCAAAGTGGTGTTCTGAAGGGCTCTGGCGTATGAGAAGGACACATGCCATGGGTTTGGAGCTTGGTTCATGGCATTCAAGTTCAAGGTTGCCTCAACCTCAGATTGCCCACCAGACAAGAACTGCTCAAACCAGAAAAAAGTTCTAAAGTTATTAGAAAAGCTACTTAGGGCCAGTATAAGAAAATTGCTTTCTAGCTATATAGTAAGAGTATTAGATTCCCTGTCATCTTAAATTGTGGTGCAACGGTGTATAAGATTATGTGTCAATACTTATGTATTACTTTACCAAACGGGATTGTGCTAACAAAAATCCGTGATTTAAGATTATGTGTCAATGCTGAGGTTTAAGGATTGCAAGGATACTTGCCATGATTCCGGGGACAGCCGGGGGGATTCTAGTGTGGAGGAGCCTGAGGGTGTAATCGGCAACTTGGGCAGGGGTGGCCTTGTCCTTGGACTCAGCTCCAGGGGTAACCATGCTAGGCTTGAGGAGGATACCCTCAAAAAAGACATTGTTCTCAGCAAGGTAGAAGAAAACCTCAGCCCAAACCTCCTTAGCAACCTCAAAAGTCCTGTCAATACCGTGCTCGCCATCAAGCAAGATCTCCGGCTCAACAATTGGGACCAAACCATTGTCCTAAAGAACCCAAAAAAAAAAAAAAAAAAAAAATCACCAATTAGAAACCATCCCGATTCCTGATAAAGCTTTCTTTGTATGCTAACCAAAGAGTTCAAAAAGTTTCTCGCTCTCTCTCTCTTACTTGGGAGATAGCAGCATAGCGGGCAAGACCCCAGGCAGCTTCCTTCACTGCAAGAGCTGATGGGCCGTTGGGAATGCTCACAACGGTACGCCTAGTTGAGCAATATCGATTATATTACATGTTAGTTTCAATGTCAATCAGTGCTTAATGTTAGAAGTGTCAAACATCAGGGACTAGATTTATACCATTTGGCGAAACGAGCTCCCTGTTGGTAGTAAGCAGCAGAGCGAGAGGCGAGGCCATCAAGACCTTGGCACCAGGACTCGTTGTTTGAACCAGCAAGGGGTACCAAACCCTGTTGTTCTCATGATCAATACATGATATCAGTAATATATATATCTACAAATGTAGTCTGCTATGAAAGAAACTAGAGACCTTATCAGTTGATTGAGAAATTCTGATTTTATGTCCCTTTTCGAATGTTGACAAAAACCAATTTGACATCACCCTTGGTTTGTGTGGTTGAGGAAAAAAACAATAAAATAAGTTTCCTTTTTCCATTTTTAGATGAGTAACTGAAAATTTTTGTGATGACTAAGAAACAAGTCCACATGACCGACCTTGTCGACTTTGATACCGGGGACGATGTTCTGTTCCTTGAGGACATCGATTATCTTTTTGCCGTCAGTAGTTGATTGATAGAGAGTCTCCTCAAAGAGGATGGCACCAGAGATGTACTGTCCAAGGCCAGGGGCCGACACAAGGAGGGTACGGTATGCCTGGCGGTTGGCCTCGGTGTTCTCTAGCCCAATCGAAGCAAGACGCTTCCCGCAGGTTGCGTTTGACTCATCCATGGCCAAAATTCCACGCCCTGGTGATGCAATGGTTTTCTATCACCAAAAACAAACATACATGTTTAATCAGTTAACCTTTTTTATTAGTGAATCCTATCAAAGAAAGAACATAACTATAAAAAGGAAGGAGAAAAAAGGGGGAAAAAAACGCTCAAGAAGCCAATGCTAAAGGAAAACAAACACCAAAACAGAACGTAAGGGGATCTAAAATGCTCTAAACGAACATATAAAGCTATTAGAAATCTAGGCTTAGCTTGAACTACAAAACTATGGAACTTATCAGCTATCAGTTTCCTTGCTCTATAAATATGATATTCCTTCTTTAACATAGAATGAGAAATAACTAATGTTTTCATAGCTAAAGAGAGAGCTAAAGGTTATATTCCAGACACCATCACTATCTATCTTATATGAAACAATTAGTCTATAGTAGCAGAGCTCTTAAATTATCTAACACACAAGTTCATAATCTAAAGCCAAAAGGGTATGTGAAAAGTTCATGTTTTGGTTTTAACATACCGCAGTCTTGACGAGCTCGTCGGCATAGGAGCTAGCGCGGACGGTAAGAGCAGACGGGGCAGTGGGGTGGCACCGGACGACCGAGACTGAAGGCTGACGCAGGGTTTGGCCCTTCACCCACTCAGACTTGTCGAGCACTGGAGCTGACTTGAGGAGAGATGCTGATGCTGTTGCCATTGTTCTTCTTTTCTTCTTCTTTTCTTTGTTATCTTATCTCCTCTCCTCTTGGCAAAGCTCTCTTCTGCCTTTGCCTCTTTACCACAAATGCATTATTCAATCTCTATATTTATACATAGTTGTCTTATTGGTGTTTTTGTACTCAGAGGATGGCCAATATGAGGCTGCTATGAGCAGACCAGTACCGTTTCGCCATGTGGATGATAACTTGCTGACTTGGCAGCCTTCATATGCGTGGTTCAAACATGGGGGTTTTTTTTATCACCTCGAAATATTGTGAATTATGGACATGAAAAAAACCATGATATTTTGAACTCTCTCTTAGAGTATAAAGACAAACGTATCACACTCGCTTATATGAGAGTCCAAACAAAAGCTGTTTAGGAGATTCGTCTGGAAAGCAAGCATGAGGCTATAATCCCTCTTTACTTGTGTTTCTTGCTTCTTAGTGACAAATGGCTATGGTTTAATCATGAGATTTGGTGGGGATTTGGATCTACACGTCAACGGTTGATATCATGCCAGGTCAGCTTTGTTACATATGACTGTTCATGATTATACCACGTAGACAAGAGTGTGACATGTCATAAGGTGGGGCCAATCAATGACCTACGCCAATTAGGAGATGCATGCATTCACTATCAACTGGTGCTTGAAATCTGTTTTGTGTTGTTTTTGGCTCAAACTAGGTCAAATTAGCTGCCAATCCGCAGCCACTAATGGTTAGATGTTGAGCAACATGTGGCTGAATAGCATTGTAAATACACCAAAAAAAAAAAAAAAAAAAACCGCATTGACGAAGGAATAATTTTTTTTACAACCATCATATCAAAATTAGATTAGATTAAATAAAACATGACAACAAGATCTGATAAGAATTGGCGGTTAAAAACTATGCATACCAATAAGGTTTTTTTTTTTTTTTTTTTTTAACCTACCAATGAATTCTCCAATTTTCAAGCATTAAAATAGAGCTCCAGATGATCAGGAAAGAAAAAAAGTTGTTGGGCCTCCCGAAATCACCACTCCAAGCAGATATGATGAAGAAGAAACATCAACACACATTCCAAAGCTGTCGTTATGTCATGCGTGGTAGAGGCACTTTCAAGATGGTAAGTCTTAAGGTTCAAAACTAACAAAATCTGCCTTAAACAGTAAATAAGTTTTGACTAGAAAGAGATCCATCCGCTCAAATTAATCATCGAATGTTGAAACTATATTTATTTAAGGGAGAAAGAGAGAAATAGACCAAGACTTGAGATGGATTAAAATTAATAAGCTAATAGTTTACATAAATTAATAAATAGGTCAAATTATTGTTTTCATCTATAACTTATCTGATTATGAATTATAACTTGATAAGTTATTGTCCATAACTTATCTAGTTATGAACTATAACTTGACAAATTTGTCCATAACTTATCTGGTTATAAACCATAACTTAACAAGTTATGGTCTATTAATTTCTATAACTAAAAAATAGCCTATATACTTTCTTAAGCTTTTCATATTGGCCTATTTCCTACTATTTTCTTTTATTTTAAATCACAAAGATTCAGAAATTAGCGCCAAAAACTTTAATCTCCATGGAGCCAAATGCCTTGTCAATGTCTAGATAAAGTATTAAGAAACAAAAAGTAGCAAACAAATCGAAGGGACAGATATGTACATGGAAAATTTATTTATCTTTTCCTACTATATGTTAATTCAAAGAGATCTCCGAAATGGCAGCAATAACATCATCGAGTGACTCTTCTTTCAGATCTTTCCCTGCACTAGAATCATCAAAAGCTGATGGTTCAGATTGAAGGTCACTTTCTTTAAGAATCTTGTTCAACTGCTTATCAAGCTCATTTTCCTCTGCTGGAATGTCCAAATCCCAGACCCTGAAGATATCCTTAGATGACGGCTCTATCTCATCCACCGACGAACTCGAATCAGAACCTGACATGATAGTTTGAGTCTCTTTCAAACCATTAGTGTAACTTGGCAGAAACGGATTCCCTACAAAAGCTAGCGACTGCAAATCATCGATGTCCTTGGTCCGAAAATTGCCATTACTACTCTCAGCTTCTTCCTTGATAGGAGAAGTAGCATTAGCAGTTCTTGTGAACTCTTGAATTTCTTCTCCCATTTCCAGAGACTGATCAGCTTCTGCACCCTCTCTGGAAGTAAGCATCTCAAAGTTGCTTTCCGTAGGGCGTCTATCACTCGCAGATGCAGGCGAATTGTATAATTCTGGCTGATAGGTCAGAACTTCCAGCAAGGCATCTTTCATTGAATTCCAGTTGCCATCAGATATTTCAGGTTCTTTGATCAAGCAGGAGTCCACCCAAGCAATATCTTCTGGAGAAAGCATATCTCGTTTCTCATCAGAGCCCTGAGAATCACGAATAAAAGAAGAAGAGGAAGAGGAAGAAGAGCCTTCCATTCTTACTTCGCCTTCCGTTGTTACTTCATCCTCTACAGCCATGTCTACAGAATTCGCACGCAGCAATGTTAGGAAGGAAGATAAAAGTTTATTTGTAGGAAATAGTAAAACTCATATAGCCTGATCATATGAAAGCTTCAAAAGCCTACAGACTGCCGAAAGATATAGTGCACCTGCCATCAAGGGCAAAATGACATTGAGAAAATATCTTGCAAACATCAAAATGTCCTGATTTTGAACCATCTCGAATAGACATAGCATTATTTCTTTCATACCATTTGTTTATGCATATGACACAGGAATTTCTTCCATACAATTTATTTATTCACGTAAGATTTGCATTAAGTAAACATGTTAATTAATGAATAGATCAAAACCAACTGACAACATCTCAGAAGATAAATTATCAAAACAAAAAAAAAATCTCAGAAGATAAAGATATAAATAAATAAACAAGGATACTAGGGAAAACAAACGAATCTCTAATTGGAATTCAATTTCGTAAAAGAATATATAAAATGACCTATCATGTCATACTTAAATTAATAAAAATAGGCACTAGAAACTGTTGAAAGTCTTTATTAGTAAACCAAAAAAAGAAAAAGGTCAGATTATAATTTTTGTCCCTATTCAACAAGTAAATATCTTCCAAGAAATTTTTCGAGGATCCATCTTCTTGGCAGGCGTTTGATTCTGAGGAGAACCCAGGACAAAGTTTTTTGTATTACACCAGTTCTTAGTTCTACAAAGCTTCTATAGCAAAGTTTCACCTTTTTTTTTATATATGCCAAAATAAATTTACAAGAAAACAATGTGAGATAAAAGGCCATTGCTTTGATTACAGTTCAATAATTTTCCGCTCTAAAGCTCTTAACAAAAACAAGCCCAGAAAATTAACTTTAAAAAACTGTTCTTAGAAGTCAAAAAATCAAAATTTGAATTAGAATAACACTAACAATGTGATTCCTCATAAACATTCTTCTAGTATGTTTTCACACCTTAAGTCACTAGCGAAAACAATTCAGATAAAATCTTTGTTGTTCTTTTTTTTTTTTTTTTTCTATTTCCCTGAAGTAGAAGAAAGTATCTATTAACCAATAGATACAACAATGGTGGACGATATCTAACCATTAAAATGCTTCTTTCTATCCAAAAACCAAATAAGGATAAATCATGTATCATAAAAAACAACACATAAAATTTATCAAACTGCCTGAATGAAGAAATAAGATATGAGGACAATTATTTGAGAATGAAAAGCCAAATACAAAACAGACCTTAAAAATTAAAAAATAAATAAATAATATACTAAGTAGGATATAAATAATAAACTAGTGGCATGATTAAGGAAAATAAATAGAAAAATATCCAGCGTATGTATTTGAAGATTGCAATATTCAACCAAAAGGTTGATTTTTTATTTTTTATTTTTTTATTTAGTAAGAGGGAGTAAGGAAGTAAGGCCTTCATTACCAACCTCTTTTTAATACATAGCAAAGTAAAACACTATTAGGGAATCACAACAACAACAACAAGCCTTAATCCCAACTTAATTGGGGTCGGCTATATGGATTTCACTTTTCCACGCAACTCTGTTCGAAATTAAACTTTCCTGAAGGCCTAGATCTAAAATGTCTTTCCTAACTACTTCGCTTTACAAAATTCTTGGTCTACCCTCTCTCTCCTAGTATTAGGTATAAGAATGTCTTCCCAAGCACGAACGGGTGCTTCTAGCGGTCTACGTTGGACATGCCCGTACTACCTCAAGCGGCCTTCGCACACCTTATCTTCTATTGGTGCTACACCTACTTTACTACGAATAACTTCATTCCTTATGCGATCAATTCTCGTATGGCCACTCATCCATCTTAACATACGCATTTCTGCCACACTCATCTTAGATATATGTTGTCTCTTAATGGCCCAACATTCACTACCATATAACATAGCTGGGCGGATTAAAGTCCTATAGAACTTTCCTTTCAACTTAATAGGCATCTTGTTATCACATAAAACTCCCGTAGCATTCTTACACTTAACCCACCCTGCCTTAATCATATGTTGAATATCTTCTTCTATATCTCTTTCATACTGCACTATAGACCCAAGGTACCTAAACTTCCTACAAGCCTCAATCTCCACACCATCTAAAGAAATTCCAACACTCTAATTACTTGAGTTATTAAACCTACAATGCATGTATTCAGTTTTCGTCCTACTTAACTTAAATCCCTTCGTCTCGAGAGTCTGTCTCTACAGTTCTAACTTACGGTTAACTCCTTCATCAACTAAAACTATATCCTCTGCAAAAAGCATACACCAAAAAACTCTATCTTGGATTTCTCTTGTCAGCTCATCCACCACGATGGTGAAAAGATAAGGACTAAGAGCATATCCTTGATGAAGGCCGATCCGAATGGGAACTCTGTTGTGTAGCCTCCAGCAATTCTCACATTCGTGACCACCCCATCGTACATGTCCTTAATTACCTTGATATACCTCACATGCACTTCTCTCTTTTCTAGCACCCACCATAAAACTTCCCTCGGCACCCTATCATATGCCTTTTCTAAATCTATAAAGACCATACGTAGATCTGTCTTGGTTTCTCTGTACCTTTCCATCAGCATCCTAAGACTAGTTGAAATAAGAAATAAGAGACATTATTGACTTGTGAAATAAAAGTAATTGATGAAATGCAGTTATCCTAATAAGGAGAAAATTTTTAATAACTCTATCCAAAAGTAACTATCCATGTTGGTAGAAATCAACAAAAAGGATAATAGTAATAAGATTACTATATATATATATATATATTAAAGATTTTTTTTTATTTTTATAGGAAACGGAATTTCATTAATCAAATGAAAACTGTACAGAAGATCTAGATGGATGGGAGATCCACCCGGAGACTACAAAAAAAAAAAAAAAAAAAAAAAAAAAAAAAAAAAAAAAAAAAAAACTAATTACAAAAACTCCCCCTGAACTATACCTCTGGTAACACTTTGTCCCTAAATCTTTAAAACGTAACATCCGTTTCCTCTTAACAGTGAAATCTTAACAACAAAAAAAAACCCTCTGTTAGATTTTTTTAACGGACATTTAACATTTAATTTGTTATTTTGGGGTATTTTGATAGTTTATGGTTTAAAATTAGTTTGAATTTAAAACTAACTAAATTTTAACTTTTAATTATGATACATCTATTATTGATTGAATGTAAGTTAAAAATTTTATATATCTTTTTTTAGTAGAATAAAAAATTTACGAAGTTTTTTTTTTAATATTTAAATTAGTTTAAATTCAAATTAAAAATTTTAAACCACAAAATTATCAAAATATCCTCAAAATAGCAAAATAAATGTCAATTTCAGTTAAAAACCTAACGGATGGGGCTTTTTTGTTAACATTTCATTGTCAGGGGGAACGGATATTACGTTTTAAAGATCAAGGGGTAAAGAATTATAAGGGGTATAATTCAAGGGGAATTTTTGTTATTAGTCCAAAAAAAACTTACAAAAAAAACCACCAAAACAGAAAAGACTATACGACCAAGCTAAAAACAGCCAACACTCATAAAAACAAACAGGGAGACACCAGAACAGACTAAACCAGAATATCTTACCAACTAAGCAAAATCAAGGATAAAGGAAAATCCTTAAATGATTTATCTGTAAAAGCTCAGAGAGATGCAAGAAATTTCGCCTTCTCAAATAAGTCCCTCTAGAAGCATCTCCTTCTTCAAAGATCCTCTGATTTCTCTCAAGCCAAACTACACATAGTGTGGCTAAAACCATGGCTTTCCACACTGTTTTACCTTTCTTCCCCCTTCCAAAACCAAATAGGTCTTCTACCAGAATTGCGTTGCTTTGGGCAGGAAAGACCCAAGAAAGAGAAGCAGCTCCCAAAACCTTAGTCCATAATCCCCCAGCCACCTCACAATGGAGGAATAAACGATCCACTGATTCCGCATTCTCTCTGCACGATAAGGATGTTTGTTCTGCACTAAGACACTAGTGTTCAGTTTCTTATGTAAGAACAACCAAGAAAAGACCTTAACCTGAATAAGAGCACATGATTTCCAGATAAAGTCAAAAGGTTCGATGATAGAATTATTTGGACACTGAACCAGGGACAGGAAAAAGGAATTTACAAGAGAACTTTGGATCTACAATCCAAATTCGAGAATCAGGACGCAAAGAATTTGGGGAAAAGTTTTGCAATGAATTAAGGAGCTCCAAAAAATCTCCGCATTCTCTATCATTCAGATTCCTTCTAAATCTACAATTCCAATTCAATTGAGATCCCTCCTCACACACCAGAATATCTTCAATTTTTAACTCCTCACACACCAGAATGTCTTCAATTTTTAACTCCTCCCTCACCAAATTATACAATCTAGGAAAGGCGGCTGCAAAAGGTAGATCAGCACACCATTTATCTTCCCAAAACCTCACACGACTACCAACCCACCCACCTTCCAACTCACTCTCTCAAGAAAGGAGTCCAGACCCTAAGAAATAAATTTCAAATTTCCAAGGATTCCTGTGAGTACCTCTAGTAACAAGGTTAAGAGTCCCAGCCATTGGATTGCAATCCATATTCGCTCCTAATAATTGTGGCCCACAGAGAGTTGTTCCAAGGAAAACCGCCATAACCATTTACTGAAAAGAGCTTGACTTTTCTTCAACAAATTCCAAATTCCCAAACTCCCATCTTTTTTACTAAGGGAAACAACCTTCCAAGCAACCAGATTATCAACCGTCTCCTCTAACCCGTCCCACAAGAACCATCTCATACGAGCTTCAATCTCCTTCGCAACACCCACTGGCAATTTGAAGAGGGAGAGAAAATAAATCGAAATGCTCGACAACACTGATTGTATAAGAGTAGGCCTTCCTCACCTAGAAAGGAAACCTTTTTTCCATCCATCCAATCTGTTGAAATTCAAACTAGCCGAGAATTAGATGAGTGATAGGCTCCTAGAATCGTGGGATAATAGCTAAGGTTCTGTTGTAAGCTAATCCCTATAAATGTGTAAAGT